TGTTAACATCTTCATTCCCAAGTCTACATGTTAAACTTCTTCATTCGAAGTCTACATGTTAAACTTCTTCATTCCGAAGTCTACATGTTAAACTTCTTCATTCCCAAGTCTACATGTTAAACATCTTTCATTCCCAAGTCTACATGTTAAACTTCTTCATTCCCAAGTCTACATGTTAAACTTCTTCATTCCAAGCCTACATGTTAAACTTCTTCATTCCCAAGTCTACATGTTAAACTTCTTCATTCCCAAGTCTACATGTTAAACTTCTTGATTCCCAAGTATACATGTTAAACTTCTTCATTCCCAAGTCTACATGTTAAACTTCTTCATTCCCAAGTCTACATGTTAAACTTCATTCCCAAGCTACATTTAAACTTCTTCATTCCCAAGTCTACATGTTGAACTTCTTCATTCCCAAGTCTACATGTTAAACTTCTTCATTCCCATCTACATGTTAAATTCTTCATTCCCAAGTCTACATGTTAACTTCTTCATTCCCAAGTCTACATGTTAAATTCTTCATTCCCAAGTCTACATGTTAAACTTCTTCATTCCCAAGTCTACATGTTAAAACTTCTTCATTCCCAAGTCTACATGTTAAACTTCATTCATTCCCAAGTCTACATGTTAAACTTCTTCATCCCAAGTCTACATGTTAAACTTCTTCATTCCCAAGTCTACATGTTAAACTCTTCATTCACAAGCCTACATATAAACTTCATTCCCAAGTCTACATGTTAACTTCTTCAATCCCCAAGTCTACATGTTAAACTTCTTCATTCCCAAGTCTACATGTTAAACTTCTTCATTCCCAAGTCTACATGTTAAACTTCTTCATTCCCAAGTCTACATGTTAAACTTCATTCCCAAGTCTACATGTTAAACTTCTTCATTCCCAAGTCTACATGTTAACTTCTTCATTGCCCAAGTCTACATGTTAAACTTCTTCATTCCCAAGTCTAACATGTAAACTTCTTCATTCCAAAGTCTGCATGTTAAACTTCTCATTCCCAAGTCTACATGTTAAACTTCTTCATTCCCAAGTCTACATGTTAAACTTCTTCATTCCCAACCTACATGTTAAACTTCATTCCCAAGTCTACATGTTAAACTTCTTCATTCCCAAGTCTACATGTTAACATCTTCATTCCCAAGTCTACATGTTTAAACTTCTTCATTCCGAAGTCTACATGTTAAACTTCTTCATCCCAAGTCTACATGTTAAACTTCTTCATTCCCAAGTCTACATGTTAAACTTCTTCATTCCCAAGTCTACATGTTAAACTTCTTCATTCCCAAGTCTACATGTTAAACTTCTTCATTCCCAAGTCTACATGTTAAACTTCTTCATTCCCAAGTCTACATGTTAAACTTCTTCATTCCCAAGTCTACATGTTTAACTTCTTCATTCCCAAGTCTACATGTTAAATTCTTCATTCCCAAGTCTACATGTTAAACTTCTTCATTCCCAAGTCTACATGTTAAACTTTCATTCCCAAGTCTACATGTTAAACTTCTTCATTCCCAAGTCTACATGTTAAACTTCTTCATTCCCAAGTCTACATGTTAAATTCTTCATTCCCAAGTCTACATGTTAAACTTCTTCATTCCCAAGTCTACATGTTAAACTTCTTCATTCCCAAGTCTACATGTTAAACTTCTTCATTCCAAGTCTACATGTTAAACTTCTTCATTCCCAAGTCTACATTTTAAACTTCTTCATTCCCAAGTCTACATGTTAAACTTCTTCATTCCCAAGTCAACATGTTAAACTTCTTCATTCACAAGTCTACATGTTTAAACTTCTTCATTCCAAGTCTACATGTTCAACTTCTTCATCCCAAGTTCTACATGTTAAACTTCTTCATTCCCAAGTCTACATGTTAAATTCCTCATTCCCAAGTCTACATGTTAAACTTCTTCATTCCCAAGTCTCATGTTAAACTTCTTCATTCCCAAGTCTACATGTTAAACTTCTTCATTCCCAAGTCTACATGTTAAACTTCTTCATTCCCAAGTGTCTACATGTTAAACTTCTTCATTCCCAAGTCTACATGTTAAACTTCTTCATTCCCAAGTCTACATGTTAAACTTCTTCATTCCCAAGTCTACATGTAACTTTCATTCCCAAGTCTACATGTTAAACTTCTCATTCCCAAGTCTACATGTTAAACTTTCATTCCCAAGTCTACATGTTAAACTTCTTCATTCCAAGTCTACATGTTAAACTTCTTCATTCCCAAGTCTACATGTTAAACTTCTTCATTCCCAGCTACATGTTAAACTTCTTCATTCCAAGTCTACATGTTAAACTTCTTCATTCCCAAGTCTACATGGTTAAACTTCTTCATTCCCAAGTCTACATGTTAAACTTCTTCATTCCCAAGTCTACATGTTAAACTTCTTCATTCCCAAGTCTACATGTTAAACTTCTTCATTCCCAAGTCTACATGTTAAACTTCTTCATTCCCAAGTCTACATGTTAAACTTCTTCATTCCAAGTCTACATGTTAAACTTCTTCATTCCCAAGTCCTACATGTTAAACTTCTTCATTCCCAAGTCTACATGTAAAACTTCTCATTCCCAAGTCTACATGTTAAACTTCTTCATTCCCAAGTCTACATGTTAAACTTCTTCATTCCCAAGTCTACATGTTAAACTTCTTCATTCCCAAGTCTACATGTTAAACTTCTTCATTCCCAAGTCTACATGTTTAACTTCTTCATTCCCAAGCCTACATGTTAAACTTCTTCATTCCCAAGTCTACATGTTAAACTTCTTCATTCCCAAGTCTACATGTTAAACTTCTTCATTCCCAAGTCTACATGTTAAACTTCTTCATTCCCAAGTCTACATGTTAAACTTCTTCATTCCCAAGTCTACATGTTAAACTTCTTCATTCCCAAGTCTACATGTTAACTTCTTCATTCCCAAGTCTACATGTTAAACTTCTTCATTCCCAAGTCTACATGTTAAACTTCTTCATTCCCAAGTCTACATGTTAAACTTCTTCATTCCCAAGTCTACATGTTAAACTTCTTCATTCCCAAGTCTACATGTTAAACTTCTTCATTCCCAAGTCTACATGTTAAACTTCATTCCCAAGTCTACATGTTAAACTTCTTCATTCCCAAGTCTACATGTT